AAAAAAAAAAAAAAGAATAAATACACTTAAAATAGTAATCTAGAAATCATTTCCTTTTAAAAATTATTTCATTTAACCCTATTTATTATTTTTAATTATTATTCATACATTAAATCGCTATACATCATTTAGATTGTGAAGAGACTTTACCCAGCATGATATACACCTCAGTCCAGCCCAGTTGAGACACAACCTCGACAACAGATAAAAATACTTATCTGTGTCCCACAAGTGTCTTACCTCTCCATTTTTCTCTCAAATTTCCCTTCTTATGCTCTTCCCCTCCCACACTCTCTTTCCATTTTTGTCTTTAGAGTCCATTACAATTTTTTTGAGAGGTCTTTGCTATAAGGTGTGTGTGCTTGCCAGAAAGTCAGAGAGAGTCAGAGAGACACAAAGTGAGATCCTGCAATTCCTCTCCTCCATTCTCCTTTAGGGATCTTGAGCACACGCGCACGTGCTTGGTGTGAGTCCAAGCCACCGGGACTGGGACTCAAACCACAGTCGTCTATATGGGAGTCCAGCAACATAGCCATTACACCAACTGCTGGTCACTGTCCATTACAATTTTTAACGCATTTATGTTCTCCAGTCTTTCAGTCTCTACCATAGAGTACCAACAGTTGGTATATTTTAAGTATAGACACACAATGTCTCTCTTTCATAGCCTAACTTGCTTCACTCAGCAACAAATCTTCGATATCCGTCCAGTTTCTGTCAACTTCAAGGGCCTTGTTGACTTTTTATGGCTGAATAGTATTCCATATGGTCTATGTGCTATAATTTTTCAATCCATTCATGATTGTGGACATTAGAGTTGGTTCCATGTCTTAGCAATCATGAATAATGCTGCAGTGAAAATAGTTGTGCAAGCACTTTCCTGAGTGCTCTCCTGTCCTTTTGGTAGACACCCAGGAGTGGAATTACTGGATCATACGGTAGTTCTATTTGAAGGTCTTTGAGAAACCTCCATATCTTTCTCCACATTGGCTGGACCAAATTACATTCACACCAACAGTGTAGGAGTGGCCCCCTTTCACTACATTCTCTCCAGCACTTATCACTATTTGTTTTGTTAATCTTTGCAATTCTGGCTGGGGTTAATTGGTATCTCATTGTGGTTTTGATCTGCATCTCCCTTACAATGAGGGATGTTGAGCATGTTTTCATATGCCTTTTGGCTATTCATATGTCATCTTTAGAGAGTGTTTTCTTGAACTCCTTCTCCCATCTTTTAATAGGGCTGATCATCTTTTTTCCAAACAGCACCTTGAGTTCCTTGTGTATTCTGCTTATCAGACCCTTATCTGATGCATAATTAACAAAAATATTTTCCCATTCAGAGGGCTGTTGATTCACACTAATTACTGTGTCTTTTGCCATGCAGAAACTTCTTAGTCTTACGATGTAATCCCACCTGTCTATTTTGGAAATTATTGCCGGTGCTTTGGGAGTCTTGCTTAAGAAGTCTTTGCCTAACCCAAAGACTCTCAGAGTTTCCACCAGTAGTTTTATAGTTTGAGGTCTTAGGTTTAGATCTTTGATCCACTTTGATTTGATTTTTCTTAATGGTGACAGATAGGGGTTCAGATTAATCTTTCTGTAGGTGGATTCCCAGTTTTCCCAGCACCACTGGCTAAAGAGAATTCCTTTTCCCATTTGATTGAATGGGACCCTTTGTCAAAAATGAGTTGGCTGTATATTTTGGGGTTTATTTCTGGAGTCTCTACTCTGTTCCATTGGTCATCATGTCTGTTTCTGTGCCAATACCATGCCGTTTTGATTATCACAGCTTTGTAATATATTTTGGGGTCAGGAAGTGAGATGCCACCTATTCCAGTCTTCTTGCATAGGATGGCTAGAGCCATAAAATGGGGTCTTTTATGGTTCCAGACAAATTCTATGGTTGTCTTTTCTAGATATGTGAAGTATGTCTCTTGTAATTTTATACGAATTGAATTAAACATGTAGATTCATTTGGGTAGGATTGCCATTTTTATTGTATTGATTCTGCCAATCCAGGAACATGGCAAGTCCTTCCACTTTTTAGTGTCCTTTTCAATTTCCTTTTAAAGGTTTACATAGTTTTCCTCGTGTCAAGGAAGTCAAAGACCTCTATTTACTTATTTATTTATTTTAATTTGCTCAGAGAGTAACATACTGAGAGACAGAGAGAGAGAGAGAGAAGGAAAGTGAGAAAGCCGCCAGGTCAGGACTTGTTCTGTGGTTGGTCATGTGGGAGTCCAACACCCTTCACCATGAAATGTGCCAACCAGAGTATATTTTTTATGCTACCAAACTAGAACTAGGTAATTCAAGGAATATTTTACATTTTACTGTTTTCTCTTTTTTCATTGCAGATTACTTAATAATGCAAGAAGAAGGAAAACTACTAAAATTCAAAGGATTTTATTTTCAGTCAGCCTTACTTGATCATGATATTTTAGAAAACCTGGAAGACTTTGAAATTAGAGATAACGACATCTTTGTAATATCCTATCCCAAATCTGGTAAATTAGACGTAAATAAAAAGCTATAGATCCATAAACTAATTTTAACTGGGAAAAATTTATGAGGCTTTTCACAGATTTGTAGTTGCTGTGCAAATAGGAAGTCATCTTTGTAACTAAAATCTTCAGCATGTGAATTTTGAGAGTGTATGAAAGGTGTTATTTTAACTTGTGCATACATTCTCACTTTCTGAAGTTATTAATCTTGTAGAGTATGATATGTCTGCAAAATGCATATTTAGAAAATTTTTTTTTCTTCTTTTGGAGAGGTTTTCGCTATAGGGTGCATGCTCTCGCCAGACAGACAGAGAGAGACAGAGAGACAGAAAGCAAGAAATCACCCCCCAGGGGGGATGGCCACGCCTCAGTCCCTTCTCTTCCATTCTCTTCTCGGGATCTTGGGCACGCACGCACACGCGCCCGACGTGAGTTTTTTTTAAGCCACCAGGTCCAGGACACACACCGCGGTCGACTACATGGGAGTCCAGCGACATAGCCATTACGCTAACTGCTGGTCCCTAGAAATGTTTTTTAATCCATGAGAGTTATCTATGATGAAACTATTAATGTACTAGCATTCATGCTACCAATTTCTTATTTGTTACTATATCCCCTTGAGGAACAGTATAGTATTGCTCAAATGGACACCATTCAAAAAGACATTGTTTCAGTGACAACACACTAAAACACCAATGTATCTAGTTTTCTCTGTGTCACTTCTAATGGAAAACCTAATCTTCACTTTAAAGTCTGTGGTAAAGTTTGTCAGGGAAAGAAGGCTAAAGGCAATGAGAAAAAGGGAAAGTTATTCTCTATTCGCACAATCATTTTTATAGAGAGAGTTAAATGCAATGCCTGAGAAGTTTGAATAAACTCCAGTGTTTGTGGTTTAATACAAAAATTGGAGAAAAGACCGGGAAGTGTTAACTACAATATCATCCAGGAGAAAGTAAAGGTGCTAAGAAAGGGAGCAGAGTAGATACAATCCTCAGTCTCTTAGTACTTAGTTAATCACTGAAAAAAATTCCTCCTAGTCTTTTATAGTCCATGGGTAAACATAATATCGAACTCTATTTTTTATGGATAGAATTAGAAAGAAGGAAAGATACACTTAGAGGAGACAATGTAAAGAAATAAAATGTGTGTGGAAGAGTAGAGCCTGAGGAAGGACATTCAGAAGAAAAATATAAAGGCAAAGCATTCATGGGACAAGGAAATGCGGTATTATCTGGTGAAGATATTTTACAGTTTTATCAACTGGACTTGGGAGAAATGTTCACATACTGAAATATTCTCTTTGTAAGCTAACTAATGTGATTGAACAT